AAGGTGAATAAGTATTTTTTTTAGCAGTAGTTAAGCTTCAGTGATAATTGTTTTTAATTACAAGCTATTTGTAGCATAAATACGACTGTTGCTATCTTTTTCTGATGTTAGGTTGAGAGTTTGTTCCAGAAATATCACAGTAGGCGTAGCTCGAGGATCAAAGCTCCATCTCGTAACACCATCCAGAAGTTTGTCTCACGCATGTCAAATTCTCATACATTGTCATCATCTAGTACTTCTACATCTAGTTCAGAAAACAGGTTAGTATTTTTCTAAAGGACTTAAAAGCTTTATTCTGTAGTTTTCTTCTAATTTTGGAGGTTTAGAATCACCTACATTCTTTTTGTTCAAGGCTACTTTCATTTCAAGCCACGTTAAGTCTCTGTATTTGCAAACAATTGTGTCAAGCATACATTAGTCGCCATGGCTCCAAGTGGGCATATTTGCTTTATAACTTGTTTGAAAAATGGTTGTGAAAAGAATTTTTTTGACTCTAAGTATTTGGGAAACAAACTTTTGAAATGTAAGTGCAAGACTGAAGCATATATGAACTTTGGAAACCTATTTGTGTGTATTTGTTCAAATACAGCTCTTGTGCAAGCGTTGACAAACGAAGAAACATGGTTTTTCTTTTTCTCTTGTCCTCCTTTGAAGAAATGCTTGTGCCTATGAGAGTATACTGAAAAATTTTTGGGTAAATGAACTGTGTTTGTGTAAGCATATGAACATAAGTAAGCATATATTTCTTTTAAACACTTCTTGTAAAGTGGGTGATTAAATTATTCAAAGGGAGCAATTAAACTATTATGATTTTTATAGTTCATACAATATTAAACAATGCCTTATTTATCAGTTTTAAGTGACATCTGATTCTTTGATGGGTTTTTTTCCCCCTGACTTCTAGTACTTGAGTGCTTTTGCATGTTGTTTTCCTTGATTTTGAAAAGATATTGGTTAGTTTTTTGAATAAGTGATTTGTGCTTGGTTAGTGGGTGAACCAGACATCTTCTAGAGAGATCAAACCACAGAAGGCAACCTAAACTGAGGCTTTCTTCTGTGTGAAGTGAAAGCTAACGTCAGGAGTACCTTGATACGTTACGTTGTGATAATAGGCATATAGTTAGATTAATATTGTCAGATAGGTTTAGAATTCTGATGTGCAGATTGTGGCCTTAATTTCACATGTCTTCTAGTTATTTTTCCAAATTGTGTCACTAGACAAATTGCATAAACAAAGCAGTTAAATGCATAATCTACTCTGGAACTACTTATCTGGCAAGCCAGTTCCTTTAATATAGATACCTTGTGAAGGAAAATGTTTTTTTTGTAGAAATGGCTTCACTATTATGAACTTCACTGCATTAGTTCTCATTTTTGACAGGATGAAAGGGTTTTTTTTCAGTTGTTTGCCAGTAGGCTTGATGATTAGTGTCTAGCGTTACTGGTTCAATGAGATAAGTTGTCATTTTGTGCAAGTCTAATCTTGCCTGATATAAGTATTGGAGAACACTGAGCATCAGATTTATTGAGATAAAAGATCAGTCAGTTCTGATAATTACTGTGACTTGCAGTCATTTTTAGTTTACTCCTAATTCTTCAAAAATAAGCTTTAATTTAATACTTGTGTTACTGTACACGCTGTGGAAATGAATTTTTCACTGTAAGCTTATCTTGTGCATTTTTCAATGGAAGAAAAATAATGTCAACATTTGCAAGGAAATAGAAGTGAATATATATGTATAGAAATGATGTGTATACAAATTTTATTTTAAAAATATATTGTTGAACAGTTCCTCCAAACTTGTGGACACGCTTCAACTATAATTTAGATTTTTGATATGAATAGTAAAAGAGTTTTGCACACTTAAACAGTATTACAGGATATTAAAATCTGTGGTTTTCACTACCTATTTTTTACATTTAGAATAATTTTTTCGGCATAAGCGTTATATCCATTTAAAAATTGAGGTGGAGTAAATAAAATGGAAGCAACATGTAAAACTTGGAAAATGTTGGGTTTTTTTTTTTCAATCTACTTGTGACATGTAGGTATATTAGTGTTCATGTGAATCAGTTGCATCCATTTCTGTTAGTGGCAGAAAATTCTTGAGTGGCTGTTATCTTCCGTTAATTTTTTTCGTTTTGCATGTGCTCATCAAATAGTATTTACAGTTTTCTCTAATGGGCTGAAGACTACCTTGTAATTCAGTACTCTGTAAGGAGTGTGATGGGAAAAGTAACGTGGGTAGCTTTCAAAATATAACAAATTCTTAGTTTTTCAAAACCAAATAAGTAAAAAAGCAAAGGGTGGTTTGTTTAAAGAAGCCTTAGGGGAAAAAAAAAGTAAGTGCCCAAGGCTGGGCCTTTCAGTCTCTAATTGGTATCTGACCTAGTTTGAAAAGATGTGACGTGTTTTGTTACTTTCCCTTTCATTTCAACATTGTTGTCTGTACTCAGTGCTTCTAAAAATTTTGTTGCTTACTTATTCAGACCAAGATTTAGGAGATTGATTCATGAATAGCCAATAATTATTCAGAAGTGACTGTTTCAAACTGGAAGTTTATCTTTTTGCACTGTTAAAGTCTTCTGAATTCTTGTATGCCACTTTTACAATCACAAATATCTTATTTTTATAGTATGAAGGATGAAGAAGAACAGATGTGCCCCATTTGTTTGCTAGGCATGCTGGATGAAGAGAGCCTAACTGTGTGTGAAGATGGCTGCAGGAACAAATTACACCACCATTGCATGTCAATATGTATGTTGTCATCTTTATTGTTAATTTCAAGTGGTTCTAAACATGCAAAAGTACTGTAACTTACTGTGGTTTTGTTGGGGTTCTTGTTTGTTTTAAAAGTAAAAAACAGAAACCTGCTCTGAAGTGATGACTGGTAGTTCTTTGTGAGAGTTTGTTGTCATTGGGCTATTATTGATATGCCTTATTTTTTCAGTTATTCACAAATCGAGTTTGTAATTTGATGCTTTGAGAAAAGTTAACTGCAAGGCTAGAGGTTGGAGCCTCTTTTACCTAAGTGGAAAGATTATATCCAATTAGAGCAAGATTAGAAACAGACTTTTAGCCCCCTGTGACTTGTCATTAGAATGCATGAAAGTCGTCTACTGTCAGCTAGGATTATATAGTGAATTATAGAATATACTTCCACACTACATTAAATAAAGTATATAAATAGTTATCGCTTGCTTTAACAAATAAAATTCCATCTCCCGTATTTTAATACTTCTGAAAAAGTATTACCTATGTTTGAGGTACGAAAAGAACTCCATTTCAATTCATAACTTTTAATATTAATTGTAGTGCTAAACCAAAGCATTTATGCATGCAAAATATGTAAATGCTCGTATTAATCAGGCTGCTCCAGATAGCTTAGTTCAGAATTGTTTATCCTGAAACTAACATTCTTCAGTAAAACTTAAAAATAGTAACGGTATCTTCTGTGTTTTATACACTGTAAAACTGAAGTACGTATTTTCCTGTTGCTGTATTCCAGGGGCAGAAGAATGCAGAAGAAACAGAGAGCCACTTATATGTCCTCTTTGTAGATCTAAATGGAGATCTCATGATTTCTATAGGTAAGGATACAGTCTATGTATAACAAACTGTCTGTCTGTTAGTTAATCATAGAATGGTTAGGGCTGGAAGGGACCTTCAAAGGTCATCTAGTCCAAGCCCCCTGCAAGGAACAGGGATATCTCCAACTAGATCAGGTTGCTCAGGGCCTCGTCCAACCTGGCCTTGAACGTCTCCAGGGATGGAGCATCCACCACCTCTCTGGGCAACCTGTTCCAGTGTTCTACAGCTCTCCTGGTAAAAAATTTTTTCCTGATATCCAATCTGAATCTACCTCCCTCTATTTTAAAACCATTACCCCTTGTCCTATCACAACAGGCCCTCCTGAACAGCCTCTCCCCATCTTTCTTGTAGGCCCCCTTGAGGGAAGACCCCTGTTAATGTTCCTAATATTAGACTGTATTTAATGTTCCTAAATACGCTGAAATATTTACTTCGGTGAATGTTTCGTTTGTTAATCCACATTATTTGTTGTTAATCCATAGTCATGAATTGCCAAGCCCTGTGGATTCTTCTGTTCTACGTGTGGTTCAGCAACAAACTCAGCAGCAACCTACGGCTGGATCACAGAGAAGAACCCAAGATAGCAGTTTTAACCTTACTCATTATGGGGTCCAGCAGATCCCTTCTGCCTATAAAGATTTAGCTGAGCCATGGATTCAGGTAATTTTTAAAAGAACCTTCAGATGTAAAAACTGATTTTGAACTGTTTTGCTAGGTTTGTCAGATCAACAATTCAAAAATTTATTCTGAATCCCAGCAGGTTTATGATTGGTTATTATTGGAAAGAACTATATTTGACTTGCATCAGAAGAGAAGGTTTTTCCATCTTGTTTTAACTGGGGTTTCAGTTACTGGGTTTTCAGGACTTCATCTCAGGCCTCATTTTAAGGGTCTATGTAGTAGTATATATATGCTATACCCTTATGTAGTATTCTTAACTCTATTTTTTGGTTGTGCAAGTGTCACATAAATACACAGTTGGCACTTATTGTTACCCAAGTTGTTGCAGAAGCCGAATGATCTAAGTAACCTCTAGAGTCTAAAGACGGATTCAGCTGAGGAGGGGGTCACACACTTAAAAGTGGGAGAACTTGTATTGCCTATCTTTCTGCTATAATTTTTGTCTGGTATAGCCAGACCTTGGTTTCAGGGTTGTTTGTATCAATCATAGAATCATAGAATGGCATAGGCTGGAAGGGACCTCAGAGATCATCTAATCCAACCTCCCTGTCATGGGCAGGGACGCCTCTCAACTAGACCAGGCTACTCAAGGCTCCGTCCAACCTGGCCTTGAACACCTCCAGGGAGGGGGCATCCACAAGAAGAACATGTGCTCCATTTTTTAATCTAATGTTTGAAAGTCATCTATGTAATCTTCCAACAAGATTGCCGTTATTTAAATTAGCACTCCTTGGGTGCCTGTGCTTTCACAAAAAAAAGCCAAAATGAGAAACCCACCTCCCAAAATCTAGTACAGAACCTAATTACAGAAACATTTTTTCCAAGCATCCACAACTTCTCTGGGCAATTTATTCCAAAGTCTTACCACCCTCATACTGAAGAATTTCTTCCTAAGATCTAATCTAAATCTGTTCTCCTTCAACTTAAACCCATTTCCCCTTGTTCTATCAGTGGACACTCCTGTAAAAAGTCCCTCCCCAGTCTTCCTGTAAGTTCCCTTCAGGTATTGGAAGGCAGCTATTAGGTCCCCCCGAAGTCTTCTCTTTTCAAGGCTGAACAATCCCAGCTCCCGCAA